TACCACCACCACCACCACCACCAGCGCCACCGCCACAACTACCACCACCACCACCACCAGCAGCAGCAGCAGCAGCAGCAGCACCACCGCCGCCGCCACCACCGCCACACAAAGCAATCGAGTGGAGGGGAGTGAGGGGAGTGAAAGGAAGATAAATCAGGAGAGTGGAGGGAAGAGAAGGGGAGGCAAGGCAGGAAAGGGGAAGGGGAGAAGAGGATTGCGGCAGGTGAATAGGGAGGGGGAGAAGGGGATTGCGGCAGGTGAATAGGGAGGGGGAGAAGGGGATTGCGGCAGGTGAATGGGGAGGGGTCATGACCAGCATGCATGACGACGTGTTCGGCTCGCGCGGGCGCGCATCCGTGCCTCGTACGTGAGATCGCTGACAGAACACCACCGAGTAACTCAAGTAACTCAATACAGCAGGTGATTGATCGATTATTCAATACGGCAAGTGACGAATCGATACATCAGGTGACAAATCGATACAGCAGGTAAAAAATCTATCCAACAGATGACAGATCGATACAGAAAGTGATAAATCGATACAGCAGGTGATAGATATAGCAGGTGATCGATACACCAGGTGATTAGTGTGTGATCAGTGCGCAGGAGCTCGATAGATTGTAATGGTTCAACTCAGCAGACATCCGGTCAGCAGTACAACGGTAACGTTATCAAATCACATTCAGTGTGTATACGAAAGATGCTTGCGAGCGTGCGAGCGAGCGTGCGTGCGTGCGTGCGTGCGTGCGTGCGCGAATAAGTATGTCCGTATTCCTGCGAGTGCGCGCGCGTACGTGTGTGTATGTGTGCGTGTATGTAGTACATGCGTGTGTGCATGCGTTCGTGCGTATATATAAACATTATTTATTGGCAAGCACTGCTTATCCTTTATTCCTACCCTTTATAAGCGATGGATTCCTAGCGTGTGCCTAAAAGAGCACAACACTGAGATATGGCGCACCGAGTTTAAATGTTTTTAAATTAGGCCGTGGCTACGCGTCCGGTTACCGGACGCCCAGCTCCCAGGCTACGAGTCCGGTCATCCATTTCCTATGTGAACCCAACTATTTTTTTTCCAGTAAAAAACACTAAACAATACTTTTTTACCATATTATTACTTGCAGAGTGATAATTAAGTAATATCGTTAAGTAAATATCGTATTAATCAACGAGACGCAATTCAATTTGAAAGGAGCGTGGCCTAATCGTGACGTAGTTTTGGGAATCTGTGCTGAGCTTTGTGCTATGGCATACATGCTACGCACCGGTACAATTATTCTTGTAAAGCAGTTAAACAAATAGTAGAAGTCTGTACGAAATCGACCACAAACAACGTTTCCATGCAACAATTTGTCACTAACACCTGATGATCGCGCGTGAAATGGATGACCGGACGCGTAACCACTGCGTTTAAATTATTTATATAATACAAGATCATTGAATAAATCTAGGAAGTAGCAAATCTAGAAGATAAATGTAGGAAGTAGCAAATCTAGAAGTAACAAATCTAGAAGTAGCAATCTAAATGTAGCAAATCTAGACGTAGCAATCTAAATATAGCAAATCTAGAAGATAAATGTAGGAAGTAGCAAATCTAGAAGTAGAAAATCTAGAAGTAGCAATCTAAATGTAGCAAATCTAGAAGATAAATAAAGGAAGTAGCAAATTGAGAAGTGACCAAGTTGAGCTTCATGCGCCATCAATGGTATACAGGTCGAAGAGACAGCGCTATAGGAGCGCTATATAGCGCTATACCTAGAATAAAGTACATTATATACTATTTCTCTACGACCTGCGAACTTTCTCGATTTTGGCATTAATTACAAATCAGCCAAGCTAGTAGCTCTTCGCTCCAAATACAGGACACTGTCTCCTATGAGTTTGGTGATTAGTAGTAACTGAGTTTATTAGAACGACCAGCAACGGTACGACAACACTTCGATCACAACAGCTCGATCACAACTGTTATAAACAAATTACTACAAAATTATTACAAACAAAGCGCGTCAGATGATTGCAGATTCCAAATGAGACAGCGTCACAGGTTCGTTGTAACTCTGTCTTTATTAGTACTTGACACATACAATATTATTTACAACATATATAGATATACAGCCTATGTAACCATGCCTAGGTCCTGCGCTTCGTCTCCCGTTCTCCGTATCTCTACATAGTAACTGAACTGTGTATATGTGTGTGTATCTGACTAATGTGTCGTCACTCTCGATCTCATATATATACTCATTCAAGGGCGTATCGGCACTTCGATCCACAATCCGATATATTGTCCAGCTGCTTATTCTAGTGATAACACATTGTCAATTATCTCTCAACGTGCGCGTGGGGCTAGGGCAACGGTGTCTTATGTTATTACAATAATATCAAGAGCGTATTAAGAAGCTTCTTCATAATCATTCACCATAATTCTTCTTCATAATCGCTCTTGATAATATCGAGGAGATAAACTCAACAAGGAGCGCTGGCGTACCTGGCGTACCTGGCGTACCTGGCGTACC